GGTCAAGACCAGGGGCGGGGATTCCGGGGGGACGGGGGGACACGTCTTGCCCATGAACCCCACGCCGATTTACGCTTCTCTTGCTTCGCTCGCTTTGCCCTACCTGATCGAAAATACTTTAGCCCCCCCCCCCCCCTCTCCAAAAAAAACCCGTTGCTGCTCATTATACGCCACTGCTCCCCCGTCCCTCGCATTTCGTCCCCCCCCCCCCCGGTCATGAAAAGAAATCGCCGCCCGGTCAAGACTCAAGATATAAATGTCTGTTCAAAATTGTAAGTGAAAATGAATGTGGAGAGACTCTGCATAAATGTGTTTTGAAATTCCTGAACAACATGCAGGAACGTTTCTTAGTTTCAAAAGTAGTCTATTCCAACTTTTTTTAATTTTCTAGCTAATAACTGAATTAATTTGTTTTAATAACAAATATAGTCTTTAAAAAGAAACGTTCTACTTTAAGTTATTTGTAATATTCTTACTGGTTGTTCTTGCCCATTTGAAATGATTTTTTACATTTACCTCTGAAAAGATAATTTACGGGTTTAAAGATAAAGACCAGTTATGGCCATGCGATTGCATTGTGAAAGAAACGTTGTAAAATCGATCAGATAAGGTTGATTCCAACATAAAAAAAATCTTCTTGGTGCCCATGCCTTGAGCCATAATGCATGGCCGTCCAGAGGATTTTTTGTTATGTTGGGGACCGGGGTAAAATGCAATAAATTATTGAAAATTTATTGCATTTTCTGTTTTTTATTTTATTTATTGAAACTGCCCCCTATCCTAGCCCCCGCTGCGTACAGTCATGGTTCAGTTACAAAACAATGGCCCCGTAACTGTGAGGCCCCAGGATCAAAACCGTGTCGATGTGCTATATAAGTGCCCTTTTGTGGGGCATTAATCCTCATTACTGTCATTTATGACTTGAGGGCGTAGGTCCCCTAGTTAATAAGCATAGTAGCGTACACATGCTTTAGCAGTCCAGCAAAACACACATTGGCAAATTATTATTCAATAAAATCTGAGAATGTATACTATTATCTAGATCTATTATTTTTAAATAATTTTAAAAATAATTCCATAGATTGGGGTAAAACTAAAATATTCCACCTGTATGAGCGACAGTGTACATCCTATCGACACAAAATGAATTATAAATAAATACCAACGGATGTAGAAAACAACTTGAGGATGTTGGTGTCACATTGGTATTCATGGAATGGTGTTACATGTAGTTGGAGAAATTATGAATAATACAGCACCTTGTATTTCCGAAACGCTTGTTTTGTCGGCTCCACGATTCAGTTGGGGGGGGGGGGGAAGGGGCACTCGACCTGTTTGACTATGTTTCTTTCTCGCGAATTCCCTGCCAATCGAAAGTCTCTGAAATTTTGCCAGGTAGTGCACTTGGGTTTGCTACTTTTTTTTTAAGAGGTGGCACGGGACGGTAATGCCCCCCCCCCAAAAAAAAAGACAGATGCATGTTTCATCGCAATTATACTTGATTCACACAATTATTGTGTGATATGTACGTCCTTCTTGCACTAATTATTAAACTCTGGAACTATATGTATTTATATATCTATTTATGTATGTATTTTTTTTATGTTTTTAATATTTTGTTAATTATCATTAAAAAAAAACAATCCTATTCATTCAATTATTCTTTGTTGTTTTATAAAAAGATATAAAAAAAACTGTTTAACAAGACAGCCAGTATAACACAATACATTTAAAATACAAATTTTACAATGCGTAAAACAAAACAAAAGCGAAATATAGACTGATAATGGAAACAAGTATAAAGGCATCGTTAAATCTGAGATGCATGGCCCTACGTATTATCAGGGTCTGTGATATGGTGAAATATTAAAGCCCTATAAATTGCGCTTCAAAATAATCATGAAGTGCCTCAAAAAAGTAAAAATCTTGGAGACCGGTTTTACTATACTCAAATTTACCAATATAATGTAGTGTTATAAAAACCGTTGGGAAAACGGTTTTTAAAATTTCAATTTCCAATCATAAATATCTTGATAATCAGACAGGCGATCGGCTTGTAAAGACATGGGATTCCTGACTAACCTAAAGCTTTATAAGAATGATTGCAGCATGAGCTAAATCCAGGATTTTGTTTAGAATCTGAGGCAAAGATACCCAATCCCTTTAAGACTTTTAATCACGATACACAATTCAGCTTAAAATATTATTTTGTTAATACAGATAGAATACCACAGAGGGTTAGTATTTCGGGAGCAGTTTTTGTTCCCCATTCCCTTCCCTTTTAGAATTTCAGCAGAGCATTTATGGCCATAAATTACTATGAGTCGCCCCCCCCCCCCACCCCCACCACCACCCGCAAAATTCCCTCGTCATAGTAATTAAAGTATATAAAAGGTATCGGCAAGAATATGTGATGCTGGATTATTCACGCATTTCACATGTAAAGAACAGTACACATGTTTGTGTGCATTGTATGTGCATGATGTTAGGGGACAAAATTTATTGTTGGTGGATGGGTGTCAACACATTAAAACCATTAAATAAACGGTATAATACCCTGCTAGACTGGACGTCGCATAATCCGTCGTGAGAATATTATGACAGAGCAGGGAGGTGGGAATCCCACCTCCCTGGACAGAGGTACGTCCAAGAAAGGGAAGAGGGGGGGGGGGGGAGAGAGGCGGATATGGGGTTAAACACCTACCCCCCCCCCCCCCCACCCCCAACATGTCGGAAACTAGTGCTCTCGAACCAATTTCTTATACCCTTTTTATATCCATCTACATCCCATGACTTTCTTTCTGTCTTATATATCAAAATTAAAGATTCATCTTGATTTCGTGTTTTCCAATCTGTGCGCTCAGTTACATCATCAGTAATTTCTAAATCGTTGGTTTCATTAAAGGTACTATGTCCCATTTGCAGGCCCAAAAAATGAAAAAGTTAAATTCCAACTGCATTTGAAAGATAATACTTATTTAGAACTTCCCTAAAAAAAAGGGGGGCTTGAAAATGTCATCAAGTGGGAAAATAATGACTATTAGTTGTCAAATCGACTTTAGGGCTATAGAGCCCAAAAGTAATAGTCTTGATTTTCAGACAATTGTACCGAATGGTCATACGTTTTATGCTGCGCAAAGATTCAATCAGTTTAATCTTGGCCATCACAAGAAGTGGGTTATTGATGTAGACAAATGCTCATGTACCCTTTACAACTCTTTTCATGTTAGTTATTACCAAAGAAGAAAAAAGCCAGTCAGTCACTCAATAGTGTCTGACAGTGAAGTCTAGCAAGTAAGCGGGTTTCCTTGCATAATTTGAATATGAGGACACTGCTAACGTTTAAATTTCACAGATAGGACATACATGACATATTCATAATTCCTGCAAAGTTCTACAGAATTTGAGGTTGGCTGCAAAAGGGACATAGTACCTTTAAATAACACTTCTTGCTATTTCCATTCACAACTAAATGGACTTTATTTATGCGGTTTTCCAACAGGACACATTGGATTTATCTTAAACCATGTCAGCGGGTCATTAGATAGATAATTTCACGTTATATACTAGCAGAAATTAACTGTATGCTTTTTATCAACGAGATGCAATTAAGCAAAAGTTTTGCCCAAAGTTTGTGGCGAGCAAACACTAAGAGCCCCCCCCCCCCCACAACAAAAATGAACGGATGAATTAATCAAAGGATAAGAATAAACAAATTGTGAAACATTTTCTTAAACAAAACCACAAAATATTGATTTACGTGCGTTTACCAATACCAATATAGAAAATATGAAGAAGAAAAATTCATCTTGAAATTCGCATGAAAATTTCAAATTTCTTTATCTAGTATACAATCTATTTAAAATAATAACAATGCACACTTCAATTTGTCTAAATTCTTTTTCACCAAAAATGTTGCATGTAGAATTCAACGATGCATGTAAAATTGGACTAACAGCAGCAGAACATATTGGTGTAAAGCGGTCTTGGTTTGAATTATGAAAAGGAGGACATGCACGGGTTAAGGTTCTTTTCGAAATCCTTGAATAATTTATCTCAATAATGTTTGATTAATCCCTCAGGGTATATAAGGTCTATTGATTCGGAATCTACTTCTGGAATTACAGGGCGCTTAGAAGATAGATAATAAGAAAGATTAGGTGAAACTAAGTCCCTTCTTCTTTTTTCCATTTTATTGACTGGGGTAATCACATGTTCTTCAAAGCCTTCTGCAGCTATCATCGAGTCACGCTTGACTGGCTATTCGGTGTGATTTTCTAATGTTCGGCCTACGCAGACGCAATGTGGACCTCAGGTCCCGTCTACATACGAAATGTAATCCTTAGTAATTTCTTTCAAAATGTACTTTAAAATCCACTTGTCACTTCTTGATTAACTATGAAGTTTTCTCAACTTAACTAACATATAGCAATTTTTTGTTTTTACATACTCCTGTTTGATAGTTCTTTGTAGGTATTTTATTGAGACACTATACAACTGCACATCACCTGCATCAGTATACGAGGATCGATACATCCGACGGTGGCCTGTACTATATAGCGAAAAAGAAGAAGAATAAGAAGACGACAATAAAAACATAGGAAATAAACATACGCGATTATTCAGCGATTGCACATTGCAAATTGTACATTTCATCATCATTAAGTTTGTCAATTTACAGTCTTTTAAGTGAGCACTGAAGTGCTTATGGAATTAAACCTGTGATGTTGGTCTAACTTTGTTGTATTATGCCATTTTAATAATCTGTTAATTTGTTCGTCGATAAGAACGGAATACAACGCCTTTCAATGTCCTCGAGTAGTGGATAGTTAAGCTAGTATTTTGATGTTAGGCCTATGATTAATAAGATTCGTGTGAAATGGGCTAAATTCCTGGACATGAAGATTATCGTAACAAGAGGAGTTTACATAGCATGATGTCCGCGAAACCAGTGAATAGAGCTTTACAATTTGTTTCACGGCTGGGACAATAGACTCAACTTGGAGATGATAATGGTTCCCCTCGTGAGGATGGAACTCCTGCCCCGCAAAGAACTTGTTAGCATTCCGTATTAGATCTTTGTCCGGTTAATAACCTCATCGTACATCTGGCCAAACTCGTAGAATATTTTACAGGTTGCAAGTAAATGAATTCGAATCCCTCTTTTTGAAAGTGTTTCTTGTCTTTATTTTATATCGTTTATATGCCTTGGATGTTATCTAACGGCTTTGCATGATAACAGGTCGTTCAACCGCTTATGTACTTCCGTTCGTCAACCCGAGTTTATGTGCTATAGTATTGGAGTGATCGGAAATGCTTCTGGAAGATTTTATCTCGACGGCTCCCATCATAGATCAGATTCCCCAACACTTCTTGCCTAATTCATACGGCTTGGCGCCTCAGCCTCCAGCGGTTAATAACACCATGGATTTAGGACCACCACCAGTGACCCGATTGGTACCGGATAATTTGGCTGCAGCAGCGAGGTTGCCGACGAACTCGGTGTCTCGCATAGAAGCTGTCAAGAGTTTGCTCTGCTCCGAGTCGGATTCGGAGTTCAGCGCTCTCTCGGGTGATAACCCCAAGCTTGCCGGGAACTCCGGCCTCGGCCCGCCGTCGATACCCGCTGCAAGGATCCCCGCTCAAGCATCCTTCTCGGCGATTCCTCATCCGATTCCTCGCCTGAGCTCCGGCGCCGCTAACCTCTCAACGTCGCTCGGCGACTACCGTTCATCGAATCATCCATTCCATATCCCGTTGATGATTAAGATACCCACCAAGGTTAGGCTGCCACCGCAGAAGGACGGCAAGAGGATCAACCAGCACACCTACAAGACACATGCTCCAGGAGATGGGCTGTTGAAGATAGACAAGAAACTGGACACGGCTGCCTCGGCCGTCCCCGGAGCTCCCCTGGTCTCGACAGACAGACTCTACCAGAGCATCGTCATGACTGACCACGGAATCCTGAACATCATTAGCTCCAGCGAACCAGGTTCAAAAGTTCCCGTAAGTACATGAATATTTTTTAAACGGTTCAGTCATTATGTGTGCCGGTTTTCTTAAAATTTTAGTGTTCATGGTCGACATGGACAGGGGCGTACGCAGAGGGGGGGGGGGGGGGGGGGGGGTTAAAACCCCACCTTTGGTATTTTTATATGTGTAAACCCCCTAAAAAAAACTAACCCCCCCCCCCTTCCTTTGTTTTTTTTGTTTTTTTTAAATTAAAAAAAAAAAAAAAAAAAAATTATGCCCACGGCTAACGTAAAGTGACCTTACCCCCCCCCCCCCCCCAACGAAAAGACATGTCAAATTTTCAAATTTCGAGACAAAAAACAAAAAAAAGTGTCCGCTTACCTGATTGAGGTGTTATAATTATTATGAAAGGGCAGAAACTGAACTTTCTAGAAATGTGAATTTTTCTTCGAAATTCAGATACCGCCCGCCAAATGACTTTTTGGTTTCCTTTCTTCAAATTGCTTTTTATCACTCATGCGTAAAATATGCATCATATGAGTTGCATCAAATGAAAAAGGAGGATCTTTACAAATATGTGTCATTTAGTAATTATAATTGTGATCAAGTTATGAAAAAACATCGATAAATCTCGGTTTCGTTTTTTCTGGGTCGCACTGTATTATGGATGCAGACAAAATGAAATTAACAAAGAGCTCAGCAGAAACCTTCACCTGAATGGTGTCAACTTTTCCATCTGAAATCGAACATGACTTTGTAACGAAAACGGTCTATTTGCCAAGAAATGTTAATATCTCTCCCCTCTCATACAGACTCCGCCACCTTCGTACCTCAGTGTCTACTCCAACTCAACCGGGACATCATCGTCCTCAGTAGCACCAAGCCTGGCATCAACATCGTCATCGGATGACCAAACCCAGGCAGCGATGGCGATGACGTCGCTCTCGTTGACGCAATCGACATCGGTCAATGGTGTCAAACCGAAAAGATCTAGATCCAGAGGTGAGCAAACTAAGCAAACAGTAGTCATAGGCATACGAGGCTGGATTATTGGAGGACCTGCAGCCCCTTCCCCACCCCCACCCCACCCTACCCCACCCTACCCCACCCCCATCCCCACCCCCATCCCCACCCCACCCCACCCCACCCCACCCCACCCCACCCCACCCCACCAATACAAGGTTGAGTTGAATAGCATTAATTCCAAACGAATGTACTTACACAATGATGATGAAACAATCCCTTAAAAACCATTCATCCCAAACTCGAGCAAATGCGACGGTGGGATGCTTTTTGAAAATAGCCGGTGCTTAGTCAGCTGTTGTCGCTTTTTGAAGAGTTATACCTATCAAATAAAATAGACATTATCAACTACCATAGCATTGCAATATGGATGTACATGTATCCGGCCATCAGTTGTACTCTAGTTTGTTAGACATATTATTGTATTGAACACGATGAAATCAACTAATGTCAATACCGTACTGTATGTCCCAAAGAAATTATGTTCGGGTTATTAAAGCCTCGGTCACATATGCCATTACGAACTGCTACGAATGCCGAACGATTTTCAGACAATGGAAGTTCGGAAAGACAATGGAAAAGCAGGGAGATTCGTACGGCCGAATCGTTCATACGAACCTTTGTGACCGTAGCTTAAACGCGATACGTCATGTTCACACATTTCAAAAGGTGACGCACAATTAGGCTATTGAAATTGCTTCAGGTTGGATTTTTATAGCCCCTCGAAAGTGTTGGGAGTTGGGAGCCCCAGATGCACCAACAATTTCACTTAAGTTGTACCATAATGTGAAAGAGAATGTCATTTAAGACACACTTCTGCAAAGATTTCCCCCCCCCCCCCAAAAAAAAGGTGTTTGAAGACAAATATTGATGAAAGAATTCATAATTTGAGTATTCAATTCTACTCAGAAAACCTAATTTGTTTTCATCTTTCATCAAAATTCGACCTCAAACACAATTTAGTTTTGAAAAATCCTTGCAATGTGTCTTAAGTGACGTCCTCTTTCACATAATGATACAATTTAAGTGAAACTTTGCAATCAAATTGTTGGGGCTTCCATCATCGTGTTATTTGTGACTTAAGCACGGCTTTTCCTTATAATTGTCTCTCACTGTACTGTTGTATATTTCTTTCTAAAATGTCTTTCTTAAACCACAAACAAGAGCAGAATGTCTGGATACAGTACTCAGTATTGGCCCGATTCGACACTTATTATTTTTTGACTTTATTTTGTTTTGTTTTTTCATAGCAGGTGGGCTTGGTAAAAAGCGAACATCCTTTACAAGGAATCAAGTGTATGGCATGGAACGAAGATTTGATCAACAGCGATACCTAACCAGTGTGGAGAGAAAAGAGTTCTCGAACTCTATCGGTCTAGATGACCATCATGTACGTGTTCTTAGAAAGTACAGTCACACCTGCTTTAGTGACCACCTGTCTACAAAGACCACCTGTCTACAAGGAACACATTTTTTTGTGTCCCTTGAAAATGGTTTCTCATTGAAACATGTACTAAAAGAACCTGTCTACGAAGACCACCTGTCTACAGAGGCCATTTTTTGTGTTTCCCTTGGTCGGTCGCTATAGACAGGTTTGACTGTATTCATATTCTTTCTTTATCAAAAGCTTTTGAACTTTAGAAACTGGAACGTATGGTTCTTTTGTGTCTAATTGGGTGAATCTTCGGGAAGAAGTAGGCAATATTTATTATATTACTTGGAAATGTGGGCATAGGTGTAAAAGGCGGGGATTGGGGCGGGGATTGGGGCGGGTATGGGGGCTGGGCTTGCAGCTGCCCCTTGCCCAAAAACTACTTGGTCAGCGAGATGCCGGTATAATTTCTTTCGTTCATAAAGTAATTATCAATTGTGTTTTGATGACGAAATAATATTTTTATCATAAAAGGTACTTGTACTTTTTCTTTGCTCACTCGAAAATTTAGACACTGGAAATATGATATTTCGGGAACTAATCCAATTTCAACGTGTGCCCCAAGATCGAGTACGTCTCTATTTAGGATAAAAATATGAAATATTTTCTCAGCATAATTATGCCAAACCTGTAATTGTTTACTTCTTTGTTCAGAATGCAAAGTTCGTTATTGGTCTACGACGTACTGATTTTGTTTAATTGATGTCAATTCTGAAGTTAACATGAATCTCTCCGTATTAATGATTTAATTTCCCTTACTTTTACAGGTAAAAATATGGTTTCAAAACCGTCGAAGCAAGCTGAAAAAGCAAGCCGTGGTCAGTAGTAGCGGCGGCCCCGTACGACCCACCACCAACATCCGGGCTAAACCTCCTCCTGGGACAAACCCACTACCTCCACAACATTTCATAAGTCACGCGATAAAATCGGAAGATACGTCATCATCTGCAACGTCGTCTGTTTCCTGCCACCAAGCCATTCCCGCGCCACTACATCCAACACATCCTACTTCTGCCACCGATTATCATCAAAACATGAATGGTTCAATTCCGCCATGTATGGGGGCGCCGTTGATGGCACCACAAGCCAGTTCAGGCGTGTCGTACCAATCAATGAACTCAACCACGGCATCAGTACCGAATTCTTACTCTTCTTCTTCGACAATCCCGACGGGAATGAACGCGTTCGTAGCAAGCACACAGGGTGTTCCTGCCGCTATCGCTCCGGGTTCGTTCGCTCATCCGTACGCGCCTCAATACCACGACTCGAACGCGAACGCGAACGTCATGATGTCGTCTGCTACGCACAGTCATATCCCAGCGATGACAACGCAGGCTAGTGCGATGCACGGGATGTCGACAATGAGTGGTGTTCCTTTCCAGCCGCCTTACGGTTACGTATACGACTACGGTGTTGATCAAGGAACCGCTTTCGCTGCTCAAGGGTCGAGGTCGTCATCACCCTTCGGTAATTTTCCGTTCTCTCCAGGATTCCATTGTCTCCCGGACGATACAGGGCATAACTCTTTCCACCAGATGCCAATAGTACCTCCAGTGAATATGATGTAAAATATATTTCGTAATTTGCCAGCGGAATATTTTCAGTCATCTAGATTTCCTCATTTGAGGATTGGAACATGGCGGATGAAGTTTGAAGATCGCATTTTTATTTTGGACTTGGACATTTCGAGAGTAAATTGTTTTCTATCTCTTTTTTTATTTTTATTTGTCTTTTTCTTAATTTTGGCTTTTTGAAAAATCGTTTCTCTTATGAGCCAGATTAAGTTACGTTATTTTATGTTCCGTACAGTCATTATTTATTCTTCCTTTCAAATTATTAAATCAACACGAAAAATAATCTTCAAAATATATGATTAGGTAACAGAAGAGGCTGAACAAGTTTCATTTATGCTACGCTTATTATCTTTAGACGAAGTGAAAGAGACGACAGGCAGCCAGGTTACTGCTGTTTGAAGTGAATTTGAAATTCAAAGCTGGGCATTTTGTTTCAATTCGAAAATATTTAAATGTAATAAAAAAAAGTAGAATAAGTAAAATAAGATGCTTATAACATTTGTACTGAAGATAAATATATATATTTAACCCAAAATATGTCAGTAGATGATATTGAAACTAAAAAATTCCCTGCGTATATCGCCTTTTCGAACGATTTCCTTTCTGATGTTGACACAAAAACACGTCGATTTCGTAGTTTTTAAGACGTGTCGCTTGTTTCAACGGGAAAATATACGGTTTTAAGCAATAATTCTCGTACCAATTTGCGGCTAGCTTAAACGGGTCAGTATGTTTAATGCAATTTCACATTGATATGCCTTGTCTTGGAACTCAACTATATTTTTGATACACGAATTCACTGTTTATAATAAAAAGAATGCCACATCATCATCCAGTGTACTCTATCGCCTTTTTACCGAGAATCGTTTTGTTCTACAATTCTACTTTTTTCCCGGTAAATATAGCAATTTGACAAACCCCCTCCCCCTTTCCTATCACTTTAGCTTTTGCTCTATCGCGATTTCCGGCACTCCCAATATGTGTGTGTGTGTGTGTGTGTGTCTATCTCTCTCTCTCTCTTTCTCTCTCTCTCTCTCTCTTTCTTTCTCTCTCTCTCTCTCTTCTTCTCCCTCCCTTGAATCCCTCCATCTGTTTTTCTTGTCTCCTTGATTATCTATCTGTTCCCCTCTCTGTATCGTTCTCTCTCTCTCTCTCTGCGTGTCTGTAGTTGTTTTCCTCTCCGTCTCTCTCCCTATTTTCCATTTTGGGGACAGAGCAGACAAAAGCGTTTTTTTTTTTGAGAGGCATAATTATCACAATCAACCATGAAGACAAAATTGATTTTGTGAGTTATGTAGAGAAGAATATAACTACATGTATATGCGTTATTTTTTTAAGAGTTAAAATTTGACTGCCACTGTTTTACCACCAAAATACATAACATTTGCATGCATAAATTAGCATAATTAACTATGAATGTTCGATTAAAATTAATGGGTTCTGTAGATAATAATAATCTCTAGGCATAAACACCTGTATAAAGATTGGTGATTTGCCAAATATCCCCATAACTAAAAAATATGGGCCTTGGGAACCGACTACGGTTCTCCATGTTTCTCCGTCTCCAAATCTGGCATAACATTGATACTACACAACTATTGTATTTCTTTCTCAGCAGTCCCCCTGTCTGTTTCTCCCTCCCCTTCTCTCTCTCTCTCTCTCTCTCTCTCTCTCTCTCTCTCTCTCTCTCTTTTGCTCTCCCCTTTTTTCCCCATTCAAAACTTCGACAAAAAAGATGAATAACTAATAATTTAGGAAAATATCAATTCTTTTATTCCATGTTGGAATTAGCACAGACACGTTACATACATGGACACACAGGCGACAAATTATAATTTTGCTTCTCTAAGTAACACAGAAATTCGTTTTAAATCGTAATTGCAAGATGCAGTTTACATTTTGGACACTGAGGTTCAAGTTTAAATTCTGTTCTACAACACATGTTCCAGTGGCAAATGTCATACATGAATCGACGTCGATCCCCACTTCAACCATGGTCTAAACGCTATATCTAACCCTAAAGCAAAACACAACTTATAAATGCAATGTAACTGTAGTCCAGAATTTGGCCGAATTCTCTAATTCCCGAAATCCGAATCTCTAATTTGTGGATCACGCCATCTTCGGCTTGCAGCAGGTAGGGATGTGAGAATTTGCGATCGCGAAATGACATAAAATCGACAAGATTCTTGATTAACCTAACTGCAGTCCTACCTCTATTTCTTTGATGAAAAAAAAGCCAAAAAGCAAATGTGAATGGATCTAAATTCAAGTTCGGTCACCTTGAAATGTTAAAAATACATACTATCAGGTCACAAAATTTAGAAAATCATTCCCGGTTATATAGCATTTATATACGGATTTCAATTATCTATTTATTTCACAGGAAATTATAAAGCAATACATTCATGACATTTTGGAATGTACAGTCTGTGGCAAGTTGTCAACTTGATATAAATACTTGATATAAATATATTTCCATCTATGAAAAATAATACTTTTGATCTGGAGTAACAATAGGAAAACTACAAAGGGGACATAGAAACATCTCAGATGTCAAGGAATATAACTATAAACTTCAAGCTAAGAAAAAATCCACTTCTTCAAACTTTCACTTGAAATTATAACATAACTAAATGCAAAGCGAAAATAGTTGTTTCCATTACATAGTCAAAAGTTAGACTGCAATGAACGAAAGTAAATAAATAAATATAATTACTGGACTGAATGGGACCTTGGTGACTGAAACCAAGTTCATTGTCGGGAAAAAATAAATACCCTGATATATAAATCAGGAATTAACAAACAATAAAAGATGCAAGAACCGTGGGACATGGTTTTGACCACGAATGTCCAATTAGATCTGGGAATACATAATAGATTTCCATAAATTCTTTTATCCATTTTTTACAATAAATAACATCAAACATTAAACGACAAGCATCTTCTTGTTTGATAATTTGATTAATAAAAAGGATCACGTTTGGTGATAGTACAACCTGATAGTTTCCAATTTCCCCAACATTCAGAATTGTCATGAGTTTTGGAGCCAGAAGGATGTTATTACTCATATACTTCAACACAAAGTGAATGCCCCTCTGACTCAAAGCAGATGATAAGTGGAAATTCACCATCATTAAAAAGATATATTTAAGAGTCAAATAATTTTACACATGATCTGTTAAAAGCCAGAAGGGCGATAGCTACAGTATTAACATAAAGCTAACGCCATTTTGGCTCTCAGTAAACGACACGATACAGTGTAACAAAAAGTACGGTTGCTTACACACGCTCTTCTTAGAACTGCTTTAGCAAAAGTGAGATTTACTGGCAAAGAGCTTTATGTCATTTATCTTTTTTCTCTACCAGACTGCTTTTTAAAGTTTTCTAGGGTTCTTTTGGACCTTCCTATAGCAAAATCATTTTTAAAAAAATCAAATATTCTTCATAGTTATGATGTATGGTAGAACTGTACATAAGGGAGTTGGAACATAGCAGGAAACATGTTTTTAAATTTTGATGGAAGTATGAGATGAAATAATTTTCTTGGCCACAAAAAACTGAGTTGCAAGCTGAGTTGCAGAAACTGAAGAATTGTATAGATTCTTATGTTGGTTGGTGTATTGAAACTTTAAAAAACCTAAACAACAATACACGTATTAACAAAAAGGTCCACATTTGGCAATAAATCCACAAAGTATTTCTGCATCATATAATAATAATAACAATAATAATTACAGTGCTTATATAGCGCCTAACACTTACTTTGTCAGAAGTTTCTAAGCGCTCTACAATAATGCAGCATAATCACCCTGGTATAGTCTTGAGTCAATATTGATATTAATTACTTTTGCAATTTAAATATTCTCATTATTTTAGCATGTCTACAATATCATCATCTTTGAAATAAGAGATAGCAGAGTGCAAAACTGCATCAAGGCAACATTATGTGACAGTGCATCTGTTGGAAATCATCCGGCATCAATGAGGTGTACAATTTTGTGGCAAACAACAACTTGATTAAATATCTCTAGTTGACCTTTCCTTTTTAGAAGAATTAAAATATAGTGCGTCCCAGAAAAAACGAAAAAAAGACGAAAGACTTCATGCATGGCTGATTGTCAACGAATCAGAGTTAAGTCTTTTGTCAATTCTGCTTGTAACTATGGTAGGCAGCCAGTGAAACGAATTCGTTTGATAAAATTATGGAAATTCAAGCACTACTTTAAACAAACAGAACTTTGTCATTCCTTGCTCATTTTTCCTGATTGAGGTGTCATATGAAAGGGCAGAAACTCAACTTTCTAGAAATGTGATTTTCTCTCTGAAATTCAGATACCGTCCGCCAAATGACTTTTTGGTTTCCTCTCTCATGCGTGAAATATGCATCATATGAGTTGCACCAAATGAAAGAGGATCTACGCTTTCCAAATATGTGTCTTTTATTAATTATAAATGTGACTAAGTTATGATAACATCGATAATTCTCGGTTTCGTTTTTTCTGGGACGCACTGTATATACACACTGTACCAATACATTGCCTACTCAGAGCCAGAAGGGCATTAACTCTAGGTAAAAGTTTAGGAGTTAAAGCCCTTCTGAATCTCATCACACGATACACCTCTACCTAATGATAACGATCACAATCATTATCAGCAAAACAGAACATAGAGTACCGAAGTGTGACGTCCTACTGGCCAAGTTGTCAGGGTTGCTGGTCCCAAACAAGTTATTGCTAAACAACAGTGTGGTGGTCAAACAAGCCCCAAACACTAAAATTGCCTTGCTCCAGCCCGTTGCTTGAATGATTACACGGTGAACCTCATGTGCAGGCTCCAGTGTTCAAAACAAGTGACCTGGACAATGAGCACATATGATGTAGCACTGCGGTACCCTATGTAGCACTGTGCTACCCTATGTACATGTAGCACTGCAGTACCCTATGTAGCACTGTGGTACCCTATGTACATGTAGCACTGCGGTACCCTATGTAGCACTGTGGTACCCTATGTACATGTAGCACTGCAGTACCCTATGTAGCACTGTGGTACCCTATGTACATGTAGCACTGCGGTACCCTATGTAGCACTGTGGTACCCTATGTACATGTAGCACTGCAGTACCCTATGTAGCACTGTGGTACCCTATGTACATGTAGCACTGCAGTACCCTATGTAGCACTGTGGTACCCTATGTAATGCTATAATTATTTCAGTTACAAGTGTAGACATTATACACACATCGCATCACAATAAATATTTCATGTATAATGTTTCTAACAAAAGGCAGTACATATATATTCAGCTTTTCCACAACACAACAACTATAAAGGTATGTCAACCAATTTTAGATTCCTGCAAAAGAGAAAAAGTCCTGCAGATTGTATCCTGGGGGGGGGGGGGGCGTTCCACGAAACAATTAGTCAGTGGTTTTCACCGACTAATATCATTTTCACCAACAATTTAGTCAGCACTGACTAAATTTGACCAATCACAGGCCTAGTAAATAGTTGGTGACAATAGAACTGTCAGTGAAAATGAAAATGATATTAATCAGTGAAAACCACCGACTAATTGTTTCATGAAACGCCCCCCCCCCCCCGTTATGTTTTATACATAAACAGCCGATTCTAATTGGTAGATAAAATTGCATTCCATATTATTTAAAACAAATCGTCTGTTTGGAGCCAGAAGGGCATTAACTCTTTGTAAAATTATATGAGTTAACACCCTTCTGGCTCAAAACAGATGATATAGAAGTTACAATATATACACTGTTAGCTTGGATAAATGGATCTGAGGTACATGTATTGGGGTAGAAAGTCTTTTTC